CCGCTTCATAGGGCTTTCAGTCCTCTCTAAGCGGTTTACAGAGTCAGCATATTGCTCCCCCAACAATCCGGGTCCTCATTTTACCCACCTCAGAAGGATGGAAGGCTGAGTCAACCCTGAGCCGGTGAGATTTGAACAGCCGAACTGCAGAACTACATTCAGCTGAAGTAGCCTGCAGTGCTGCATTTAACCACTGCGCCACCTCGGCTCCTGATGAATTGCTCTAGATGAACCCTCCAGGTTTTTAGTACAATTTCATTCACTAAAGCAGAATTCTTTTATACTATAGCGATCTAGGTTGGATAGCCCTATAAATGACTGAATAATATATTTAGTTGATGGGTCAAAAATAAATGTAACGGAACACATTCATGCAAACAAATTATTGGATACTGTGGGGTATTATAGTGTTTGACTTACATTTATTGATGGGTTAGTGACTGGCTGTTTTTGTTAAATAACAATCACTTAAAATATTTGACTATTTTAAACTACCAATATAACTTAGATGGACTTTGAACCAAGAAATATTAAAAGAGAAGGAATGTATTCACTTTATGGAAAGAGAACTAGACTTCTTCTTTAAAGAGAATAGAAAAGAAGAAACATCACTACAAAATGTATAGGATACAGCTAAGGCATATATTAGAGGTCTAGTGATGACATATAGAGGAAAACAAAATAGAAAAAAGAAACAGAATCAAAGGAGACTTGAAGAAGAATGCAAGAAACTAGAGACAGAATTACAAAAAGACCCACAAAAAAGGATATAAAGAATCAAATGGACCTAACAAAACACAAGTTGAGTTTGATGGACAAAGAAGAACCAGCACGGAAAATTAAAAGTGCCAAACAAAACTTTTTTGAAAATGCGAATAAACCAAGAAGATGGTTGGCACATAAATTGAAAAAAGAGAAAGAAATTGATAGATAAGTTGATAGATAATGAAGGGAAAACTTACTACCAAAACAATGACAAGAAGAAAGTGATCCAAAATTATTATAAGAACTTATATGATCAAGAGTCAATATCAGAAGAGAAAATAAAACAATACCTAGAAAAAGGAGAGCTACCTAAAATACTTGATACAGTTAAAGCAATGTTAGATGGGCATATATCAACAATGGAATTAACAGAAGCAATCAAGAGGCAAAAAATGGGAAGACACCAGGACCAGCTGGCCTGCCAGCAGAATTATATAAAGAACTGCAAGAAACTTTGAGCAATCCAATGTTGGAAGTATTTAATGAACTCTTGTTAGAGGCAAAGGTACCGAACTCATGGATGGAAGCATATATTACTCTTATACCAAAGGAAGATATTGGTATAAGGAAGGAAGATTTACAATTTATAAAAAACTACAGACCAATATTTTGTTGAATGTGGATTATAAAATCTTTGCTTCAATAATTGCAGAAAGACTAAATGATTTTTAAATTAATTTATACAATTTATTAATTTATTATAAAAATGGCTTTTTACCTAAGAGACAAATTAAAGAAAACATGAGAACAATTTTAAACACTTTGGAGTATTATGAAGCACATCCAGAGAAGCAAATGGCATTGATCATTTAAGATGCACAGAAAGCATTTTATAATGTGAACTGGCCATTTATGTTAGCACAACTAAAAAAGATGGACTTTGGGAAAAGATTTGTTAAAATGATTAAGGCGATATACCATAAAAATGGCAAAAGTGGTGGTAAATGGCAATATGAGAAAGTTAGCATCAAAAAAGGTACAAGACAAGGATGTCCCCTGTACCCATTATTGTTTATATTGATGCTAGAAGTACTAAACAGAAATATTAGACAAGGCGTGGAGATTAAAAGTTAGCAGCATAAGTTACAGGCGTTTGCAGATGATTTAGTTTTTATTTTGGAAGATCCATTAACAACAGGGCCTAAATTAATAAAAAAATAGAAGAATATGGAGAGTGACAGGTCTGAAAATAAATAAAGAGAAAACTAAGATACTAGTTAAAGATTTTACAGATAAGCAAAAAAAAAAGAGTTAATGAAGAGAATAGACATTCAGATTGTAAAGAAAGTTAAATATTTAAGGATTCAGCTGACAGCAATCAAGGAAGGTAACTATTATAAGTTGCTGAAACAAATTCAAATTGATTTGGAAAAGTGGAAGAATATGCATTTATCACTGGTAGGAAGAGTTGCAACAATTAAAATGAACATATTGCCAAGATTATTGTATTTATTCCAAACAATTCCGATAAAACTGGAAAAAAAATATTTTGAGGAACTCAATAAAATAATACATAAATGTTCTGACACCCCCCCTCCTTGCTTGTTCACAAACGACAGCCAGACAGAATTTCAAAGGAAATATCTTTATCAGTCCCGGCTCAAGCTGGCTGCGAGCCCAAAATAAACATAGATAAAGTCTCTGGCAAAAAGTTACACAGCAAATGCAAAAACAAAACTCTTACAGCAAACCAGGTTTACAGAAAGCAAATCACTTATTCAAGTGCCTCTTTGAATCATGAACACTAACCTGAACAGGAACGGAACTGAACTCACGAACAAATGAACAACGTTGACTTCTGCAAATAAGGTGTGGCACCATCAGTCTTTTATCCACAGGAGGAGAGCCTTAACGAACCCCAGCTGCTTGTTATCTTCTCCCGGGAGCATCCTGAAACCACTCACTGATAGCAGCTCCAAAGGCTCCTACCGAGCCACAACACATAAATATATATGGCAAGGGGAAAAAAAGCAAGAATTGGTTTGAAAATGATGCAAGATTAAGAAGTAGAGGAGGCTTTGGGCTACCTAATTGGGAACTGTACTATCAGGCTGCTGTATTAACATGGATGAACGAATGGATTGTATTAAGAAATACAAGATTATTGACTTTGGAAGGACATGACTTACAATTGGGGTGGCATGCTTTCTTGTGGTACGGGAAAAACAAGATACACAGATATTTTCAGAGACATTATGTAAGGAATGCACTAATGTTGGTATGGGAGAAAATTAAAGAACAACATTATTTGAGGATACTAATCTGGCTTTTAACAATGGAAGCATTAATTCACCCAAATGTCATTAATATGAGAAATATTGTTAGATATAACAATCTATAACAATCAATATAGATATAACAATCAATGACATTTTGAATGAAAAGGGGAACTTAAAATAAGAAATGAGTGAGCAAGGAATCGATATAACATGGTACTCACAAATGCAGATACATTCTAGACATGAGAAAGATGTTAAACTACAGGGTTTTTATAAAGAACTAACAGAATTAGATAAAATCCTAACAGGAACAGAAGAAAGATTAATAAAGAAATTGTATAGTTACCTATTGGGTATAAAACTGGAAGAGGAACAAGTAAAAGAGACAATGATAGTATGGGCAAAAAAATTTGGTCATGTGAAAGAATTAGATAAATGGCAGAAACTATGGGACAGAAATTATAAATTAACAATGTCAACCGCATATAAAGAGAATTTATGTAAGATGTTTTATAGATAGCAAAGATGTTTAAAGACAAATCAGCTAAATGTTACCCGGATCTTACTATCACATGTGGTGGACATGTGGAGAAACAAAGAGGTATTGGACTAAGATAAAGATATGGTTGGAAAAGATGATTAAAAAAACGTGAGTTAAATTGAGTTTTAACCAGAAATATTGAGTTAAAACCAGAAATATTTTTGTTGGGGATATTACCTGAAACTTATAATAATGAGAATACATAATTATTCATATATTAACCACAGCTAGAATTGTATTTGCATAATATTGGAAAAGTGAAGAGATTCCTGCTGAAAAGAAGGTAATCAAGGAAAATATTAGAATGTGCAGAAATGAACAGACTAACATTGGCAATTAAGGAGAAAGAACAATCTGATTATTATACGATACGGGAGGTGTTTTACCAATGGTTAGAGAATAAAAAAGGAGTTTGGAAGTAAAAGAAGATGATAGAAAGAAGTATAGAAAATGTATTAAGACAGAGATAAGAATAAAAATGATAATTGTTAGCATTAGTATGATGAAAATAACTATAACTATACTCAATGTTATTATTGTGTATATATATGTGTGTGTGTGTTGCATTTGTGCTGATAAATAAATAAAGGGAGACTAGTATAGATCTATTTCAAGCTATTTAGCTCTCATCAGCTAGCCATACCCTTACTGGGAATTGAACCTGGGCTGTATTACATATTAGGCAGTTGTATTAGCCACTAAGCCACAGGCACTCCTCCTTTATCAGCTAAGCCAGGGAAATAGGTATGTATTGTGTCACAACCTCTGGTATGCCCAAATATGGGAGGGACCATACTGCTTCCCTTTTCTGTCTTTCAGATCACCCTAGGAGCCATCCAGGCAGAATGCCATTTTTTTATGTTGCCTTTGTTACATTTGTGTTGCAAATTTTGAGAATTTTGCTGATTTTATTTGTGGTATCTTTGATGTAAGGGAGGAGTGTGATGCCGTTGTCCTGTTCTGTGTCTCGTTTTGGATTAGGTTGGTAATTGTTTTTCTTTGGAATCCGTTGGTGATTAATATGTTTGTATGAGTGTTTGATTCAGTTTTCAGGTGGTCTTTGTCGGCTAGGCGTTTGGTTCTGGAGATGAAGGTCTTGGCTACAGAGTTGATCTGTGCAGGGTGGTGATGGGATTGTGTGTTTAAGTAGCGGTTGGTGTGTTTTTTTTTCTGGTAGATGGTGTGTCCTAGGGAGACATTGGGTATTTTGTAGATTAGGACATCCAGAAAGGGAAGTAGGTTGTTTGCTTCTATTTCCATGGTGAATTGTATTTTAGGGTGTAGGCTGTTGAGATGTGTGAGGAAGTTATCTAGTTTTTCTTTCCCATGTGGCCAAATCACAAAAGCGTCATCAACATATCTAAGCCAGAGTTTGGGTTTGTGTTGTGAGGGGTCTGCCATTCTAGGACAGCTTGTACTTTGGCTTGGTCCATCTCTATCCTCTTGTTTGACACTCAGTAGCCCAGGTAGTCTAGCTACAAGCAACTAAATTCTAACTTTGACAGTTTGACATATAAGTTGGCTGCCAAAAGCTTTTCAAGCACCTGGTGGACTAGGGGTATGTGGTCCTCTATTGTCTCAGTGAAGATGAGGATGTCATTCATGTAGACAAGGACCCCCTTGTAGAGGTGCTCATGCAGCACTTCATTTGTTAACTGCATAAACACTGCTGAGGCCTCCTGCAGCCCGAAAGGCATTACTTTGAAGTGAAAGCTTCCTAGGGGGCAGTTGAAAGCTGTTTTCCATTCATCTCCCACCCTGATTCAGACTCAGTAACATGCTTCTCTGAGGTCTAGTTTAGTAAAGACCTTTCGTTTGGCTAAATGGGACAGCATGTCCTTCATGAGAGGGAAGGGGTATAGGTTGTGCACTCACACTCCATTAATCCCCCTAAAATCCATGCATAATCTCATAGTTCCATCTTTTTTTTCTTTAAATAGGACTGGGGCTGTGACTAATGGCTTGGCCGGCTCGATTAACTCTCTTGCTAGGTTTTTGTCTATGCATTTGCACATTTCTTGCATTTCCCAGGGCACCATGGCGTAGTTTGGGTTTGGGAAGCTTGGCCCCGGGGATGATTTCGATGGGAGGTGGGGTGGGGTGGGGTGAGTAGGACATTGTACTCGGTTTCACTGAACACTTCAGCAAGATCCTGGTATTCTCCAGGGATCTGTTCTCCCTCTGGGGTTTGTTCAGAGGTGGCCACCAGGTGTTCTGGTGGGACTCTAGGGGGAGTTTCCTGTGTGGGCAATGCCTCTATTTTCTGGTGCGGAGTGGGTTGGTGGCCTCTTGCTATCCTCAGCCTCCTGTTTCCCCCTTGCTACCAAATGGTCAGGCCCCACTTGTCTAGCCATGACAGCCCCAGTATGATCGTCTCTGTCATTTTGGGAGCTATTACAAATTGAATTGATTCCAAGTGGTCCGCTAACACTAGCCTCACTGGTTCAGACAGGTGTGTGGCATGGGCTCCCCCTAATAGGGACCCGTTGACCTGTTCAAACTTAATTGGGTGGGCCAATTTCTTCGCTCTGATCCCCAGTTTTAGGACCGTGGGTAGGTTAATCAAACATCTAGTGCAGCCTGAGTCTATTAGGGCTTCAAACATGCCCCAAGTCCCTGTTTTGGGGGCTGTGAGACATATCGAGAAGAAAAAAGAGTGGATAGGTTCTCTCACCAGCAGGTCATTTTCCCCCTCATCCTCACTGTCATAGGTTTCTGGTGATTGGTCGCTGTCAACTGGAGTCCCATCCCCCCCCCATTGTCTAGGTGGGGAAGGACCTCTACAGCCTGGAGGGCTTTTGGGGACTTGGTAGCACGCCTGGGGTCTCCTTCCAGTTGTGCCCTGGGTGGTGGCTCTGGCTTGGGTTTCGGAGCTGGAGTTGCGTAAGCCGATGCAAAGTGGCCTATCCCTCCGCATCTGTAGCATTTCAACTGGCCTCGGTGGAGGGTTGGTCTTGGGGCCAGTTGGGTTACCGTGGCATCCTGTCAGCCAGGTGGTCTCTGCTCAGGTTGTCCTCTCTCTCTCTGGGACTCAGTTGCCTCTGCATGTCATTGGTGTGCCAGTCAAAGAGTCGGCTGGGAATTTCTCTGAAGAAATGGGACTAGTAGCTTCTCTGGCCAGGGCGGTAGTTTTCCAATAACCCTTCTGAACTCACGGATGTCTTCTTTAATGGGTTGCCCTCTCTGCTTTAATTTCTGAAACTCATCCTCCGCATATTGATCCTCCTCCACCTCCTCGAATCTGGCTTCTAGCTCTTGCAGGAATTCGTCAACATCCTGCAGTTGGGGGGCTCTCCTCCTATAGAGGGCTGCTAGCCATTCATTTGCTTCTCCCTCTAATCCCATGGCAATGACATTCACCATGGCTCTATGTGATGGGTAGAGGTGTCGATAACAATGTAGATGGACTCCAGCGGAGTCAAGGAATAGAGCCAGTTGATCTAGGTCCCCATTTAACTTCCCCTTGAAACAAGGTGGCTCGTTCAACACTGCCACTGCGTCTTGTTGGGCCCCATCTGCCTGCGCCTAGTATGCTTGGCGGTCTCCATTGGCTCTAGATCGTGGAGGGGGGTTTCACCTTACCTAGACAATTTGCTTGTGGCACAGGGGAGCCACTGGCAGCAACCTCAGTCTCAGTCTCCTTCTGGCGGGTGGAGAAAGGCTTCTTCTCACTTCCTGGAGTTTGACTGCACCCCCCCCCAATCTCTTTTCCCCTTTCTTTTGGGTGGCACAATGGCCCCTCATTGCAAAGGATGGCTCGGTCAAATTCCTCCTTCAATTGCTCCAAGGATTGACCTTGGGTCCCAAGTAGGGATTTTGGGGTTCTGACCTCTTCCCACTCCTTCATCCACTCCAATCTTCCTAGCTTGCTTATGGGTTGCTCCAAGCAACAGGAGCTAGGGTAGGAGAATTCAGTCTCAACTGCTTTACGGACTTTTTTTACCAATACCCATCCCTTTCTGCTTTGGTCACCAAGGCGGGCATCCCAGATGTCTTGGTTTCCATGGTCAGAGATGGTTGCACTTGGGTTCCGATTGGGCTGCTGGCTGCTGGTGTTCCATGGAGGGGGGTAGGATCTGCCGCCTTCTGGGTTGCCAGGGGCAGACTTTCTTCGGAGATTGCGCCCTCTGCCATGGTGGCTTGAGTTTCTCTCCATGCACCCAAGTATCGAAGAGCAAGTGGAGAGTCCGGGGCTCAGGAATCCCAGTCATTTTGGGTTAGTTTTGTGAGAGATGGCTTGATGTCAGAATTCTGACCAATACCCTAATAAAATCAGGAGCCTCAAGAAAAATCCAGTTGTTTATTAGGAGCGCCATGTCAGCAAACCTAAGTGAAGCCAGCTCTGACTTTACCCAGTTCGTGCCTTGCCTCTGACTCTGTTGCCCCCTCCCCCCAAGGTGTGTCACCAGTCACATTCCCCAAGAAAGCAATTTCGCGGGTCGTAGAGGTCACTTGCTCCGGCGACTGTGGATCTCCGTGGAGATGGCCTTGACTTCGGCTGGCTAGGATGTGTTTTGTTTTGACTGAGGTGTGAATTCCTCGGTGCAGCTGCGAGGTGCGATTTCCCATCCCCTTTCCTATGGCAACTCGGGAGAAGTTCAGGAAAGCTTCGCGAGTTGATAGGTTTATTATTTGGTTGACTTTATATACTTTATTTATAGCCTTCAAGGCAAAAACCCTTTATAGTGTTATAATAATGTTATTTCACTTGCTCACAAGCTATTAGGAAAACTTGGTTGAGTAATAATCAGACATAATCACTACCTTTGAGCCAGTGGCACTAGTGACAAAAAACCCACTCTGGAGAAACACTTCCTCAACCCTACCATTCTCTTCTGGGTCACCACAGGGGCTGGAACCAGAACACCCAGAAGCAGATGTTATAATCTGCTTTAGGACTTTGCTAATCACCACAAAACAGTGAAAAATGGTAGAATAATTACAACTTTTTAAAGTGTCAGTTTTTTAGGTTTCATTAAACACACTAGTGGGTTTTTAATGCTATATATTCTAGCAAATTTGTAATGTACTTTCACTGGATCTGTACATTGAGACTGTTTAACAATGCTGTTAATGTTCATATGCTGTTTATACCTTTTTTCATGGACACTCTTAGCAAAGAATAAAATATATTTATTTTGACTATGTGTAAACAAAATTTTATAGGGCAATCCTCTATACACAAGTAAATGGTTTTATATTTTTAATGTTTAAACTTCATTTCAAAAAGGTTTGTCCTTTGCAACCATGATATTTAAAACATGTGCCTTTGCACAGGTTTCTAGAACATTTCTACAAGCCAATCAGACAAATACATGACATTTAAATGAGTAAAAAAGAGCACAAAACTGTAAGCGTACAAACAAAATATTAAAATACCTACACACAATAATAAAAACCTTCAATTACAACATCACGTAAAATAAGTCAAATGTACAAAAAGACTGTGACAGAAAAAGACCAAAGGACAACTTAAAATATTTGCTGGAAGTTTGTTTGCTCTTTTGGCACTTAATTAAAACGTAACAAAATCATCATCTTCATCAGACTCCGCAAAATACTTCACTTCTTTTCTAGCCCGACCTGTCCATGGCCTGGCAGCTGTTTTGGAAGCAAAGAAAGATGGGAAGATGTCTACATCAGAATCCTGATCGAAGGCTGTTTTCTTCACTTTCTGTTTTAAAATAATTATTAAAAGTTACGGATGGTGATCCCAACTATACAACATTTTAAAGCTCTTAAATTGCTATCCATTTTTTTTTAAAAAAACAATCTATATGTAAACTAACCATTAATTATTTTACAATGCTTTCATTACTAACCAGTAAGTGTATCTAGCAGATAGTTTACCTTGCTTCTTCCAGGGTTATATTCACCTTCATTTTCAGAACCAGATGTTTTCCTTTTCTTTGCTCCCCTGCCTTTTCCTAGTAAAAGATTGAAGGGAGAATCTACATCAGTTCTTTGTATGTTTTATTCCTATTCTTGTAATTAAAACATATTTAAAGATATGTTGTGGCCCAGCAGGAGCCGTTGGAGCTGCCGACAGACTCTGATAGCGAGGGACCCTATGAGTCGGCTCTGGAAGATGTGGAGGANTCTCACCACATGCCCTGTTTTGGGCCTAGTAGGCCTAGCTACGCTTACCCGGGAGTCAAAATGGGGCGCGTGGGGACTCCTGGTAGGGGCAGGGCTGGAAGGGGCGGGGCCCGCAGTCAATTTAACAACCGTTCACGCAAATCAACTCGAACCGGCTGAATCTCATGACTGCTTATGGCCGTTTTTCATATTTTCCACCTTTGCAGCATCCCAATGATCATGTGATTAAAATTCATATGCATAATGCATAAAATTCAAATGCTTGGCAACTGGTTCATATTTATGACGGTCACAGTGTCCCTGGGTCATGTGATCCCCTTTTGTGACCTTCTGACAAGCAAAGGCAATGGGGAAACCAGATTCTCTTAACAACTGTGTTACTATCTTATCAACTGCAGTGATTCACTTAACAACTATGGCAAGAAAGGTCGTAGAATGGGGCAAACCTCACTTAACACATGTCTCACTTAACAACAGAAATTGTGGCTCAATTGTGGTCGCAGGTCGAGGACAACCTGTGCTACCTTTTTATACATGGACTGCCTATAAATGGATAGGATCTTTGGGCAACTGGAAATGCATATGGAATACCTACAGATCAAAATGGGGAGTATCCAGGTGTGGGTTGCTCCTGGTTCGCACCGGTATGCTAGAAGGGGTTCGTCAAATTTACCGTATCTTTTAGAACCCCTTCGTCTGGTGGGACAGTACCGGAATGCTCCTTCCCACCTGCCCCCCCTCGCCTGCTCCCCCGACCCATCCGGTCACTGCTCTCTCGCTTGAAATTTTTGAAACCCACCACTGGGGGTATCACACCGAAAGGCTATTAAACAATTTGAGTAACCTTATAATAAAAGTAGCATTACCATTCATAATCACCCCACCCCACCCCGGTCTAATCTAGTTCGAAGGGCTGACTTTGTGCTATATACAGACTGCTGAATTTTCTCCACGTATTTTCCCCCTCCATACAGTATAACACCATGATAGCTATTTCTTACCCTGTTACTAAAAGAGCATGCAATGTGGACCCGTTTTTCTTCTCCCATTCAGGGTGTAGATTCAACCATTTTTCCTGTTGTGGAAGCTCATACACTGGAACAAGTTCTGTCACAACTGGCCCACTGGAGGGGGAAAAAAAGCATACATTTAAGATAGTTGAATGTTAAATTGGTAAAGTGAGGACCCAGATTCTTGGGGGCTGTGAAGCGGTATATAAGTCTAAGAACTATTGCTATGTACTGGAACTAAGGGGGGAAATGATTTTCCCCTCCATAGAAAATAAGCTACGGTATTGATTGACTAGGGTACTGATAATGTACCAAAGATCATATGCGGTAACAAATATCAGAACATTCTTTTTGTAATAAATTTTTAAAAATGTAGAAAACGAAGTTATCTCATGTCTTAAGAAAACATCACAGATTCAAAGAATTGTCCTGTTCTGACCGAGGCTTCCCGAGAGCCTGAAGCAAACTCCTGGTCTCGACAAAAACCCCTTTTATTAATCCACTGTGAATTCTGCTCATTCACATCCAACAAAATATTTCGAGGGAGGATTTACAGTCACAGACCTTATCTGGCTTGGAGAGCTGCCAGGCCGATATCTGCAGAACTTGGCAAGAAGTCTCAGAGAGTCACGAACCAATTAAGTGAACTAATTGTCTATTGCAAACTCCCCTTTCGCTCCTCTTTTA